TGCCCAGCCCCGAGTCTCCCTGGAGTGCCCAACCCCAGAATCTCCCTGGAGTGCCCAACCCCAGAGTGTCCCCGGCGTGTCTCCCCGGAGTGCCCAACCCCAAAGTATCTCTACCAAGAGAGGGTGGGGATGTTCGAAGTCAAAAAATCTTACTGGTCGTAGGGGCTATTCGCAACCCTGATAGAGCCACGATTACGTTACCGGCACAGGTTCTTGGGTTTCAAATAGCTCGCGCTAGAGCTCCCCCCTCTCCCCCATACAATGGTCAACTTGCAAGGAGAAGTTTGCCACACGAGGCTCCGAGGCATGAAGGTTCTTGCATCTTTGTAAACCGTTTGCATGTCCCAAATGCCCCGGAAACCAATCCGCGCACGCTTTCTCGATGTTCTCCATGGTCGGCGCTTGTGTCTTGGATTGACCCAAAGGTAAAAAACCCCGGGATCCGTGAAGGGCCGCGCCCATTTTTTACCCAACTCTGCTTGCTCTGCGAAAAGGTTCTGGAACGTACTAAAACGCCCCGGGCGTGAGCTGTTTGGTCGCTGGCCCGAGCTTTTTTGAGCGTACTTAAATAGCACCCAAGTCTTGGGGACCGAGCGTGTTCAACTAGCATCCTGCTTTTTGGGGACCGCACGTACTCACGTAGCCCCCATGTTTTGGGGGCCGAGCATGCTCAACTAGCATCCTGGTTTTTGGAGACCAGAGCGTACTCTAATAGCACCCAATCCTGCTTTTTTGGACCGAGCGTATTCAAATAGCACGCAAGTGTTGGGGATCGAGCGTGTTCAACTAGCATCCTGCTTTTTGGGACCGAGCGTACTCAAATAGCACCCAAGTTTTGGGGACCGCACTTTCAGAACACGCATGTCGGTCCACTCCCTTTGTGCTCGTAGGGTTTGGTGAAGACCCTATAGAAGTTTGTCCCCCCCCTTGGCGCTCGTAGGGTGACGTCGTAAGGAACTAATAGCCCATCTGCGCCCTGGTGACCAAATAGCTGCGCCATGACGCGAGCTAGTTGGTCACAGGGGAAACATCTATGGTGTTTTAACACGTTAAAGTGTTCTGTAGCATAATCGTGGCCGCCTGCATTTGAAAACGGATCCAAATGCGTGTGCTGGTAACGTATAATCTTGGCCCCATAAGCCGCCTGCCTTCTAGGGCCCTCTCGCCCTACGAGCACGAAGGAACATGCGACAACTTTCTAGGGCCCTCACTTAATGCCCCTGTTGAGCCCAACTTGAAACCGGGATCCCACCAAAGTGCCCCTGACGGGAACTTGAAACCCGGATCCGGAAACATGCTCCTGATAGGCCACTAATTTGAAACCCGGATCCGGCCAATATGCTCCTGATGAGCCTAACTTGCAACCCTGATCCGGCCAACGCGTGGGCCGGCCTGAAACACGGATCCGACCAACAAACATGCCCCTGATGGGCCCAACTTGAAATCCGGATCAGGCCAACGTGCCTGTGACCAGTAAAAGATGCGTTCCCTGAAAGAGGTGTGTGTTGGAGACGTAATCGTGGCTCCATAAGGGTTGTGAATGTGCCCCTGCGACCAGCTCTGAAAATATGTGTTTTAATGTTTCAAATTGCCATGGATGACCTAATTGGTCATCATTGCGCAAATGGGGAGCTAGTTGCTTACGATATCGCCCCACGAGCGCGAAGGGCGGCCCTCTCCAAATCCTACGAGCACAAAGAAGGGGATATACGATAAAGCCCTCAGGGATATGTTTTTGCTTCTACGGCGTATTGAGTCCCCAAGCTTGGGTGCTGTTTGAGTACGATCGGTCCCCAAAAAGCAGGACACTAGTTGAACACCCTCGGTCTCCGAAACTTGGATGCTATTTAAGTATGCTCGGTCCCGCAAAGCAGGATGCTAGTTGACCATGCTCGGTCCTGGAAATTTGGGTGCTATTTGAGTACGCTTGGCCCCCAGAAAAAAAGCAGGATGCTAGTTGAATACGCTCAGTCTTTTTGCACACACACAGGGACCAACCAAGACGGCTCTCTGAAACCTTGAAACCTCGCACGCTGGGCCCCTTCAAGCACGTTCTGGGTCTAGGGCTTTCAGGCCTAACCTCTATAGGGCCTCATCCTACGAGCACGAAGGGAGGGGTCATGCGACAAACTTCAAGTGCCCTCACGAAGCCCGAGCACGAAGGGAGGGGACATACGACGAACCGCTAAGGGATATGTTTATTCTTCTACAGTATTCTGAAAGTGCAAACGTTAGGAACAACATAGGGAAGTTTGCGCTTGTGTAGAATCTTTTTGCAGAGCAAGCAGGGTTGTACCCAACTCTTCTTGCTCTGCGAATTTGTTTCAGAGCCCTTGAAAAACGGTGGTTTAAGTAATTCGAGATGTTTATCCCCTGTGTGCTGGTAACGTAATCGCGGCTCCATAGGGTGCACAAGCAGCAAAACAGCCTATATTGTTCCGAACGCTTGCACTTTCAGAACACTGTAGAAGTCAAAACATATCCCTCACAGGTTGTCGTATGTCCCCTCCTTTCGTGCTAGGGTAAACCTTCATGAGCCAAGAGCGGTCGCACAGCTGTCGGCATGTAAGCTGCTCCGTGGCGGCGGGTTGTTGCGTCGTGGCAGGATGTTACTTCGCATTTGGGCGCTGCAGCATAACTGTTATCGCTGGCTGGTCGAGCTGTGCAAGCGCGACACCACCTGTGGCTTGCACCCCTCGTACGAAACATTGCCCTGTGCATACAGCCTGCTCTCAAGCGCACGGGCGTTCAGTCTTGACCCTCAATAATCCTCCAGTTTTCGCCCCTTTCCGGGACTGTGCAGAGAGGAATGAATTGTCAACACGCACACATGAGGACCTTCGTTTGCTAGAAGCTAGATTTGTCATTCGTGCTAGTTGGGTCATGAAACAGAACAACGAGACTTTCGTATTGATGAAAAGGAAAGTTCACATCATACCCAGAGGCCCATGCCACATCGTATTACAGTATGTTTATTCTGCCATAATTCATTCATCAAAGGTTCTCGCCTCCGTATCCATCACGGAGCTCCGCCTGGCAGGCCAGCGAAGCAGACAGACGCTGCAACAGGCGAAAAGCATCCAAGCCTCTTCTGTCTTCGCCACGGCTTCTTGTCATTGCCAAATTGCTGAATGAAGCAAAGCACGAACAGCACGAAGTTTAAACCACACGCTAGCAATTGGCATGTGAAGCAACGGATCAGAGCCTCCTCGAGATTCGAAGTGTAATCGGCACAGCGGCAACAAAGAAGCTGCTACAGCTTAGCATCCAATTCCAGTGAGAAGTTATGATGCAATCCACGTGCTTGCGTCGTCCAGTCCCCTATCTGCTGTACCGTGGTCTGCGGACCAGTCTGCGGATGAACTTAGGTAGATTCCACGGTGGTGCTTCTTGATTCTGTTGATTTGGCACGCCGCAAAGATGAGGAAGACGCCAGCAAACAACACAACCTCCCACTAGTGCCATGTAGACAGCGAGGGCTTGACAAGAAACGTCACGGCAAGATATGGCAAGTATGCATGAACAACTTGTACCAGGCTACTCGCCTCTGACATGAGATGCGACTTCGCCCTGCATTCCCTGCAAGAATGCAAAGGCTACTATAGACAGCATACCCTTGAAATAGCTCCAACAAGAGTAACAAAGCATTCAAGAGCTTGTCCGCTGCAGACATTACACGCCTTAGAAGCCTCCTCCTCATCCCTCCTCCTCCCCCTCCCCCTCACTGCCACTCCCACCGCCGCGGCTACTGCCGCCGCTGCTTCTTCATATTGCTGCTCTGTGCCCTGCTTTCTGGTGTCTTCCAAAGGAGCTTTGTCTACAACACAAGATTTCTACTTTGCCAAACTTCCGAACAGCGGGACATGTTCCCCAGCACCTCCTAGCCGTTGCGCCCATCGAATTTTGCATGGACCGGCGTAGATGTTGCACGGAAAGCAGAAGTCAGTTCCCGGTCAAGGGCTGTTTGAAATCAGTTTGCAAAAAATGATGGTTGTTGACTTGACCCCAGATGTTGCCATCTCTATCGCACTATGCGTATACCCACGACAAGTATTGAAAGCAAACAGCCAATCATGACCATCAATGACCATCAACATGAGGTACGGCTCAAGATGAATATACATAATATATTTATATGTATATATAAATAATACAACAAATAAAAATGAAAAAAAGGGCGCCTAGTTTGGTTTCTCACCCCAAAAAAGGGGGCCTGGAGCCGAAAAGCTTCTCACTAAATCTGCACGTCACGGCCTGCCTCCTCCAGCGCTGGAGGAAGCTCTTCGCAATGGATAGGGTTTAGGGTTTAGGGTTTAGGGTTTAGGGTTTAGGGTTTAGGGCTTAGGGTTTAGGGTTGAGGGTTTAGGGTTCAGGGTTGAGGGTTGAGGGTCTTCTCTAAGGCCTCCTGGCCAAGATTTGTGGCTGAAGCCATGCCAGGCACCTGGGATGGTGTCGAAATCCCCTGGGACTTAAGCCATATGGCAATCAAGTGTGGTGCTGAAGGATGGCGCCCCACCGTCAGGGTTTAGGGTTTACGTCGCTCACTTTAGTAGGGTTTAAAGGGTTCAGGGTGCCCAAAAACTGATGATCTCTGTGTGGTAATGAGAGCTACGCAACTTGCTATACCATCCCATCAACCCTTATGAATCATCCCAAACGCAGGCCAATCTCTCAGAATTAGCTTTCCCAACATCTTAGGGTCTAGGGTTCATAGCCGGTTCTCCTGATTTTCTGCGTGGAAAGCGCGGGACCTGTGCACTGTACATCAGGCGCGGTCCCCCTTTTGGGGGCCACTGGCTGAAAGCTTTCCTCAAGCCGTAAACCCTAAACCCTTTTTTGTATCTGGGCTTGTGCAATCGCCAGAGACTACCCAGGGTACATGTGCAGATATAGTTCACTGCACTCTCCCTTCCGAGCAGTACAAGACACTCAAACAAGTAGTCTCCGCTGAGATCCGCAGGAACAAACCCTAAACCTTAAACCCTAAACCCTAAACAAACCTATCTCTTCGGCTCCCGGGTCCGATTTTCCATCCACGACTCACCGCCACAGTGGATGCACACCTTGTCATTGTAGCCGTTGTTGCAAAAGGTGAGGATCCTTGGGGCTAGAAAAAAGCCATCTGGAAAAACACATGGTTCCTGAACTGCTGGACATGTCACTGAAAAAACACAAATGCGGAACTTGAGCCCACGATCCTCCATCCTCAACAAAAACCCAACAAGGCCATGAAAGTTAAAGCCAGGGATCTCATGTTGGTCCTGCTGACACAGCTGCGGGTCGCGCACACACACCGTAATGGTCTCCTCCTGCAAGTCACAGAGGTCGAAGGGATTCGAGTCCCAGAGGCGCTTCCCACCGGTGATCAGCGACACGTGGGTGGCGCGGAGCTGAAGGATTGATGCGATGGCTTCACGAAGATCTTGGATCGAGACCAAGCCAAAGAGGCCTTCCTTTTTGGGATGCTGGGGAATGTTCATGGAGTGGGAAAGATGGGGGGGGGGGGGGGGTGGTTCAAAAAAACCTATGGTTGAGTAGAGTCCCTTTTGAATGATGGCAGATCATAGCCATATGTTTTGCTCAGAGGTTTTTGAGCCAATGGCTAGATATGGCTAGTCATGATCATTGAATGAATGATTGTGAATGAAGTTTTAAATACTGATGACTCAACATCATCGAAAGGCCCTGCAGAGTCACCTCCTCCAAAAAGACACCGATGGATATTGATTTTCAATGGTAAAGTGTATTCAGGTGTTTGGTGGCGGCTTTGATGACGGTTGATTGCCATTAATCAGTTATCGATCCATCCATCTTAAAAATGTGTTCAATATTCGCCTCGGCTTCCTGCCGGGAAGCGTCTGGAACAAGCAGACCCAGTCTGCCCCCTTACCCAACCCTTCCTTCCGTCCTTTTGCCCTGGCTCTTTCCCCCGCCCACTGAAAAACCCTGAGACCCCCTTAAAAGTGCCCTTCCCACAAACCCTCCAGGCCGACGTCATCTCCACATACTGCATGCTCTGGGCCGGCCCGGCTACCGAGGCGGCGTGCGCAAGCGTTTACAGTTAACAACATGATGCCACTCAATTCCGGTATTCATGAGTTCATTTTTAAAGAAGTAAAGCATGCATGCACATGATGGGGGCTTTCCATCTTTGTTGACACATCGATATGGGCCAGACTACTGACGCGCACCAACATTGAGTTGATGCTCATCCCAAGAAGCCACTATTCTGAACAGATTTTTGGGATGGGGTTCATAGCAGGCCACCAGGGTGGCGCAAGACCCACAGCCACAGTGAGCTGCAGGGAACGACGGCGGCTAGCCTGGTTATTCATGCATGATTTGAATTCTGGGTCATACCTTCGGTCGAAGCGGATCGCACCATTCAGACTCTTGGTGATATTTTTTGGTAGGAATAAATCAAAAGAATCACAACAAGCCCGGCGTCCCATGGTGCTGCAATCTCCTTGTAGCCTGCCCCGCAAGAGATCCAAACCGACTGGCCAGGTCGGAGTTGTGAGATCTGATATTCATACTGGCAAGGGGCGCGGATCCCATTTTGGCCCTCAAAGGCTGAAAGGTCCACGACTTCTCCACTCATGTATTTCACCTGCACGCCCCTGTGCAAGAGTTCCTGGATGCAGGGAGCCATCTCTACCACCAAGGTGAGATGCTCATGTTCTGCCATGAGCTTCTGATCCCAGTTGATCATCTCCTTCCTCTCATCTCCCAGCAGAAGCCGCACGAATCTGGTGGGCCGAAGGGTGTCCTTGGCGATTATCTGCCGTGCCTCCATGAAACCAGCAGCCCCTGCAAGGTCGGAGGTACAGGGTGTTCCATCAGAGTTTAGCACGCTCAACTTCTTGCGGACCCACCACTCACCGAAGGTTTCCATCAACTGCACTCGAAGAGTTGCACTTTCCAACTGTAAGCTGTGCCACGTGCCTAATGCCGAATTCGCATCTCCATGGTAGATCGTGATGAAATGTTCAGATCGCTTTGTTTCTGTCGCTAGCCATGCCATCAGGTCCCGGATGGACTGCACCGGGGCCCCGCGGGACCGTTCGGCCGAGCTGACGTCCCGTTGCTTGCCGTCAGAAAAGATGAGGTGCAAGGAATTTCGGGAGATCATATCTGAGATGTAGGTGGAAACTCTCACCACTGGCGGTAGGATGTCGCCAGACGAGACATCTGATTCGTTGCTCAAAAGCTTGCCAGTAGCTACTTCAGTCAAAGAAATGTCATCAGAAGAGAGAGGCTTCGTGGCAAAATACTTGCGCTTGATCACATTGCGCAGGTCTGCGACATTCACGATCTTTTCCTGGATGGTGGCTTGACACTTCCAAAAACATATGGTTGTGGTTTCAAGCAATCATCCTCTAGGTGGTGGATAAACCCTAAACCCTAAACCCTAAACCCTACATAAGCAAAAAACAAAAGTGTGGCTGAAGCCGGCGTCCAGGTTCCAAGTTCAGATCCAGCAAGGCCAAATCGGAGCCATTCGCATCTACCAGCTTCACTTCTTGGAAGCTGACCAACTTTGGAGCGAAGCGCCTCCAGCGCTGAGCTACTGAAGGGCTCATCCACTCTAAGTCCATGCTGGATCTGAGGATGCATTTCCTGAGTGGAGGGTTGTCGCGCCATTCCCAACAAAATTCGCCTACTTGCTCAAATGGGGGGGGGGAGTACGGAGTAAACCAGACCATTCATGATGATTTTGGGTGCCACAACTTGAAGAAACACCCCGAATATCAGTGGCTTTCAACCAATGATTCCCAAATCTGGTTGACGAACAATGTGGCTGAAACCACCACCGCGCTTCCTCAAAGTACTGGCCCTGGAACCTTTGCGTTTCCGCTCGCCGACGGAGAAGTGATCCTTGCCATACTTCTGCACCGGATCAGCTCTCAGCTTCCAGGTGGTGCCTGGATTCTCGTCATCAGCCCAGAACAAGGTGCCGTTCTGGATCACGTGAACCACGGAGGGGGCCTTGGGATGAACCCAATGGCCAGTCAACTTCTCCATGGCAGACTGTGACATGAACACACGGGGGAGCTGGGGGACCTTTTGGAGCCAAGTATGAGCGCTGCTGAAAGGCGTGCTCCAAGCTGGCTCTGGTGTCGCCATGGCACATGAAAATGTGAGGCCACATGGAGAACGCAGCCAGATGTTAGGGAAAACTTGAAAACAGCAGTTGGAAACCAGACATGTTTTTCCAGGCAACACGTCTTACCATGAAAAGATGTAGAATTCCTGGCCCATCCAGAATCTGGATTTGAAACAGGTTGTCCAGAAAGCCTTCTCAGGGGGTCGCGAGTCTCAAGAATGCTGAAAGAGTTCCAGTGTGCTTCAACCTTGCTCCTGGGCCACTGAAAATATTCAGCTCCAAACCTATCTAACGCTGATTTGGTGTTGATGGTGATTCCTACAATTGATGATTGTACTCCCTATTTGCAACACAATAACACTCAACCAAACAGGGTCATTAAATGTATGATAGTGTGCTGCGCGAAAAGATCATGTGTGCAGCCTGTAGGGTGCTTTCCCGACGCGTATATCGTGTGGATTTTGAGCTTGTGGGAGCCAATCGTCCCCAAAATATCCAAACACGTCCCCAAAATTCAGTTCGAATTCTCAAGCTCCGACCTGGTGTGAATCCGAAAATGCCCCCTGCCCTCCCCCTCCCTAATAATAGACCCCACATTCCTTCATTGACAGGCTGGGTGATTTGGCGGTACATACATACATGAGGTGAAGAAGAACAACGCAAACTCATGCCAATCCGCGGACAAGGGAGGATCCCGAGAGTGCAGGTTTCAATTAAGGAGCACATGGCCATGTGCATGACATGGATGGGGACTTGAACTATGTCTCCTACACTAGATTCATTTACAACGGTATGCGCCTTCTTGAAGCAAGTCCAGTCTCAAGGTTGTCAACTCCAAACATAGGGTTTTTGGTTTTGGGCTTCATGACGTGAGGGTGTCAGAGGTGTGCCAACGCTTCAAGGCTCTGGGCGTTTTTGTTATTAAGTTCAAGGTTGGGCTGTAAGACTTGAGGCTTGAAGGCCTATGGGGGCATTGAAGCTTCATGACCAGCAGCCATGGTATCCCTCCAACAAAGTGGGTTCCCTATCATTGGACTACTGGGCCCTTTCAGGAAGCAGGCCTGAGACTCAAGCATATACAGCCCCTACTGGTACCATGGAAAAAACACAGACATGGCATGCTTGCAGCGAAGAGCAGGACTTTCTGCAATTGGCTGTCGGCAAAAGTTCCCGACCCCATGCGCGCACTACCTCCCGGGCTACACTCCAAGATACTCTCCAAGATGCAGAGATTTCATCCCCAGCACAGAATCTATATTCTTGTCAAGACACTCCTATGAGGCCCTTACAGACAGATTATCCTGTGAACTCTATCATGGTATGCAACGGTCTACTGTAGAGTCTCATGGCCTCCAGCTCCTTTTTTGATCTGCATAGCGCGCTTCTGCAAGGCAACCAGTCCAGAGAGGAGACGATTAGATCGAGCAGGGAATTTGGACAGCCTAGGTAAAGCCGCAAACCTCCGCCAAGCCTTTGTAAACTGAGACGAGCCTTCCTTTTGAGTCTCCCCTCGAGGACCTGAGGCCAACATGCTTCTTGGCACCGGCCGCTGCGAGCGGCTGCCGACACAACAAAAATGCATGACATGAGCGTCTCTGCAGAAAGCTCGCAACGCACTGCTTGCTTCATCTGTCTCTTTCGGAAGTATGAAAGATACATGGCGCGCGCCTTTCCCAAGACACTCCGCGACCTACGGACGAATTAATGCTTGGCGAGGGTTTCCCGAATCGTGCAGGTGTGGGGGTTGAATGGCCAGGCTGTAGCGGACCACTTTTCTGGGACGACATGTAGCCTTTCAGTCCCCCGGTTTGTACGATACCCGGTTTTCCTCAAAAACCTCATCTCCGGGGCTTTTGGAAAAGCCCCAACCACCTCCAAGGTCCCAAGACCCAA